GATAGGTCGATTCGAAAACCATCGTCAATTCATTGAGTTTTTCAGAAATCCTCAAAACTGATTTTTTATCAAAATAATATTTATATGCCTGGAGAATCATTAGAATTTCATCAGTCGAACGTCTTGAGATTGTTTATCATTAAGTATTAATCCACATTGTCGGAATTCAAGTCAATGTATCTCTAAACTATTTTTGCATAATTTTATCAAAGAAGATATACAATTTATTTAGGATTTTACAAAAAAAAACAGGAAAATTAACAAAGCAGCGAAATAAACAAGCTTGTATTGAAGCTTCCTGAATGAATTCTTGGGCATGTTTTAGGTAATTACAACCACTTCTCGGGAATTCCAAGACCGCAAAACCACTGACATAGTTCGAAGAGAATCGCAAACAACAACACCCAAGATCTCTGCTACCACCAATGTGCTCAGCTCAATCAACAGTAATATTTCGGACCAAGAAAACATTATTCCTCATGTTTGCAGTTCAACAAAGTCAACATCTTCTGAAGACATACGAACAGTTACTGAGTCCACCAACGCTCTCCAAAATCGTCTCAGATCGATTATCGATGATGGCGACAAAGTTACAACGGGAACAACCACGGCTATAAGCACTTCTGAAGCTGAAGTAACTACAGACACAACTATTATCAATACTGTATCATCTGATGCAAGTACTGCTGAAAATTTGCAAGAAGGCACTACATCTTTTGTCATAGAAAATGACACTGAACCTTCGGATTTTACAACGGAATATTTTGCAACCACCACAGTAATACCAGTTGGTGAATCTACTTCGGAAAATACGGTCAGAACTTCCAAGGGCTTTGAGTTCTTAGAAACTACAACAGAGACTGGAAAAGGATTGGAAACTACAACGGAAATATATGTTGAACATGTAAAAAGCACCATTAAAAATGAGCTGGATAGTACTAAACTTAATAATGGAACGTCTATTGAAAAACTAGGCGGATCAGATCAACTTGAGGTCACTATCAGAACCATTGAGGCGGTAGCAGAGAGCACTAATCCAGCTATGAGTGAAAAAACGACTATTAATGTCAACAGTGTGGATGAGGAGGCTTCCACACAAGAATCTACTTTAGCTGGAGTAACTGAATCTAAAGCAAATACTATTGCTGCTTCTGAAAATCCAGCAACGGTGAGTACAAACTCTTTTTTACGTGTTTTCAGTTCAGCGTTAAAATCATCTGTTGGAAACAAGTTCCATAAACATTCAACTTTGAAAATKAGGTGACCTACATTATTTTTTCTTAAAGTCATTAACAGAYAAAGCACAAAACGAAGAAGTAGACCAGCCAGCACTTTTACTCTAWTCCAGCAACTATTTCCACACGTTTRATTGCAACTGATGAATATTTCTGTTGTAGAACACTGTTAGTGCCGAGCCTACATCAKCGACTACAAGGACAACTGATCAATCAACACCAGCTACAACAGAGTACAAATTCATTCAYATTGAGGATAGCGGAAATATGCATACTACTCTACTGCCTGAGGTGCTCAATCCCAATTTTAATTATTCAACTTCCAAGTCACCAGACGAAGAAATKTCGGCAAGAAATGTACCGATTAATCCCGCAACTGAAGTCAGCTCTTCTCCTAGGTGAAGCATCAATACCTACTCKTAGTTTAAATAGCCCGAGTTCCAGTACTTCTTCTCATAGTATCCATCAAACGATTTTAAATATTGTTAACCTTCGAATGGCCACTCTAACATGAAGACGCAATTAAGTTTTGTTTAAAATAAATAGAAGAACCATGGTTCCGGGAACGTGTTTTCGTTTTAACAGTTAATTAGATAACCAGTTGTACGCTATGAAATATCCACAAGTTTAATGGAATTTATTTACCTTCATATATCTTCTCAGAACTGTATACTCCTTCACTTTTTCTTAGAAAATTACATCAAGTGCTATTAACGTACCTTAATAGCCTTGACCTTTGTATTGCATTTTTAGTACAACCTTAAGTGATGCGAATGGGGAACCGGTTACAGTTGATAGTACAACCGAAGATAGTGCTGGTATTGTACCAACGGATTCGGGATATATTAAAGAGGATGAAGATGGAAACTACAAGGGAAAAGTAGCTGCAATTGCTTTGTCTTGTGTGGGAGCGGTTTGCTTAATTGTACTAGCAGGCTTACTGGTAGGTATTTTTTCACCTGCCAAACCTCACAGTAAAAGACTAATTTTCATTATTTCTAGTATGTAATGAAGAAACGGCAAAAGCGCTTGAATTATGGACCAAGATGCAGACCAGTTAGTTTAGATGACTACAGTATTGACAATCTTTCAGTTTACAGCAGTGTGAGACGAAAAGGTGGAGCGAGGCAATCGAAACGATCGTTTGGGAATCCCGCATTTGAAGATCCGGTAAGATTTTTGATATTTTATGCATATTTTCCGCGTTGTGCGTTTTAAGCAAACAACTTTGGAAAATTTAGAAAATTGTTTAAGAAAACGAAGTGCGCAAAACTAATAGTTTTCATTAAACACTCACACTTGAGATTTATAATAATTAGCTTGACTCTGAAGCTGCTGAAGCAGATGATGTGAAAAGCAATTAAGATCATAGCGAATCATCATACAATGGAGTATGGATAGAAGTATTAATAATTTTTCGGATTTGCATTAAAACTTTTATGTTTCAATTTTATGCGTCAGGTTTATGGACAATATTTTAACAACACACTAGAAAATGTTGAACAATATGTGCTTAAAAAATATATGAGTGATTAAATATTTTTAAAACCGTTCCAATTGCATGGCTATTATACATATATCCACATGTAGACCGAGAGTCTTTCGATCTTTAAGTGTTTGCTACAGCAAATAATAAATCTTTGTTGCTTGATAACAAAATATTTATAATGTTTGCTGTGAAAGTTTAATATATGCGAAAAGATCAGCAAATGGTGATAGACTCATAGAGAAAATATTTTCCTACGATTTCTCTTCAAGCTAATATTAAAAAATTTATTTTTTTTAGGTTGCTCCCACTCATCCGCTAAATTTTACAGCCTTGGCTAAGTTTTCCGCTAATTTAGAAGACATCAGAGCAGAGTATGAGGATATCCCACAAATTACGGCTCGAAATTCTGAGCTTCCGGATGGATGCGATACTAAAAATCGGTACTCTAATGTAATTCCGCTTCCAGAAACTCGAGTTTTTTTAACACCGATTGATGGTTATCCTAATAGTGATTATATAAATGCAAATTATGTTACGGTAAGAATAACATCTACAAATTAATACACTAAATAATAAATAAACATATTATAATATACTATTGACAATACCTACTACAGGAATTTTCTGCTGAATTTGATCAAGATATTTTGATCATTTTAGGGTCCCAGCAACATCAAAGGATATTACATAGCAACACAAGGCCCAATGCAAAATACGGTTGATGATTTTTGGAGAATGGTTTGGGAGCAACAAACTAAAGTAATTTTAATGCTGACGCATTTGGTGGAAAACGGTTTGGTGAGTATCAATTATGCAAAAAAAATCTACATGTCTTCTACATTCTAATTAACTTGTGATGATTTAATAATTTCTAAAATTTGTGAAAAAAATATTTTTTTCACCAGAAGGTAGCTTTCAGCTGATTGTTAGGAATTTATATTTTTACAGCCTAAAGTAGCTGAAGTCTTATATTTATTTAAATTACAGGAAAAATGCGCGGATTATCTTCCAGAGTCAGAAGTCCTGGACTGTAGCAGGGTTTTTGGAGATTTCCAGATAACACTGAAGAAACGCGAAGTGAAGGAGAAATATATTATTTCAAGCTTACAATTGAAGGTGATTAGAAAAATTAAATATCCTTCCATATGGCTTATTGTGGTCTAATCGACAATGTTCAGCCGTTCCAAATAAAATTTCACTTGCAGCTTCATATTTTTCATGAAAAGTTATTTTAATTTGATTCTAGAACATGGTATCAAACAGTTGGAGGGACGTGACCCATTTCTGGTACTTAGGATGGCCAGAAAAAGGAGTACCAAGCGAAGCCAACTCATTAATAGCTTTCCTAATTGAAGCTAGAAGCTACATGAAAGCTGTTACCACAGACAATGTAGGCATTTCTGATTTTTAAATAAATAGTAAAAAATTACAAAATATGCTCTTTTTCAGAAAAATGGCCTGAATGGAATACATAATGCAACACAGAACGAACATAATCCTGTTGTTGTGCATTGCAGTCCTGGAACAGGACGCACAGGTAAAGTTCCACATTGAAAATCACTATTTTTATTTTTCAACAATTTTACTTTGTTTTTCTTAGGCGTGGCAATGGCCTCAGATATTGCAATAAGAGAATTCGAAACAACAAGATTGGTAGATATTCCGAAAATTGTCTACAGGATACGAAGAGATAGAGCGAACGCTATCCAAACCAAGGAGCAATATATATTTATTTATAAGGTTAGTTAGTTAGGAAACTCTTTCTCACAAAAAAACAACTGGAAATTTCGAAATTAATTCAATCATCAGTTCGGCTTCAATTTTTTTAAATCGTGAATATTATCAAATGGTTCTTTGCAATGGCCGGCTTCTTATATCAGGCGAAAATAAAGACGCTGATTCATGCTTATTTTTCGCATAGGTGGAGGAAGTATGATGCCACACTTTTCCATACATTCTCGTTTTGCTTGAAATATGTTTTTCTCAAAATTGATTGCTATAGGGTAATTTTAGTCTTTCAATTATTTTTAAATCTCTTAATATGCTTTCCAATTCATTCAATAAAACATTTCGATTTGGGCATTTTATTAGCTTTGAAATATTATATTTATTTAATAAAATATGTGCATCACTAATTAAAAGTACTTTAATTTTACCATCTTAGTAAGAATTCGTTTTTTAATTACATTTTATTTTAGGTGGTGAGTTTATACGCTACCAAACTGACAGGAGGAGCAATGGAAAATTTGTAATTTAAAAATAAAATAATTCGCTGTGTCAATTTAGGTAGTTGAAGAAAATAAATCAATATAAAATGCTGTATATTTATAATACATATAGTATGCATCCAAATGTAAATAATTAAAGTAACTAGATATAATCTTTTAGTTGAGCTAGAAATCATTACCCTGTAACGAAATTAAACTTACATTTCCTTTTCATTTCAACTCGATGTTATTATATCGGAATAGATTATAATCTTGTGTGTGATTTCCACATAGTGTGTGCGTGTGTGTGAGTGATTACCTATATGTGATATGTCTATATTAGTTAAGAAAAATTTATTATTTTGTTTACGCTTAATTTYAAGTGAGACATTATGTTTAAACCATGTCTGTTGGAAAAAATTTCAATTAAATGTATATAATGATTAAATCAGTTTGATTTTTCCTTGTTGCTTCTSTGTGTTCATTCCCATTTTTCCATTAACGATTTTTTAACATTTTTACGTTAACCTTCAAGCGACAGTGAAAAGTTTTAATGCACAATATTAACTTACGCAAGTTTGAAAATTTAAATTTTTCTTTCGTTTTTCTTTTTGCCAGATTTATGGTTTCTCTYTATTAAAATGCCATAGAATTTTAAACGATGTAACTTAAAAAAAAAAATCGAAAATCRCAAACATGTAACATTTTCGGCTACTAGCGAACTAGCGAAGATTCATATAAGTTTTTTTACCTAAGAMGCTYCCTAGTGTTTAAAAAGAGTGAGCACTCGAATCTCAAAATGAGCCATAACTTTCAAAAAGTTGAACATTTAGGACCGTTGTTGGAAACTGRTGAGGTTTTTGCCAGATTGATTGCAGARATTCATTTTTACCTTGACCTAAAAGCTGGAAAATATCACCGGTGATACAATTTTTGAATCAGRGGATCAAACTGATTAAGTTCCTCAATATCATTGCAATTTATTCAGAAAATTTTACTAAAATATTTTCAGAAATTAACGACCKKTTTTTGAATCGGAAAAGTTTTTTTTGTCCCYAAAAAACACTTTTTAATTTTTTTTATTCCATAGGTACGCTTTATAAATACTTTTCGACTTATCTAAAATAGTGTTTGAGTCTATGAAAAAAAGGATGTTGAGATATATTTCGGATTTGGTGGATATTCGTAAGCTTAGGGAAATTATCCCTTTTTTCTAATGAAAAAGCTAGAGAATTTTAGGCATTTAGAGCAAATTTGAGGAATACCAGCACATTTTCTCAGCTCTGACAACATTCTCGATGCTAAAAACAGTGACCATAATTTTC